GAATACACCCACTGTAATGTCTACTAACCCTCTATAGTCTACTTCTAACACTCTGCACTGGCGCAGCTATGGCTGCCTTCTCCCTGCCAGCAGTATCTCTTCCTCTCTCTCCCTCTCTCTTAGCGCAGCACTCTGGCTTCAGCGCTCTGCCCCTCACAATAGCGCACAAGTGCGCCAGCACTTCCACACTTCATGTGAATGAGCAATCTGCCCGAATGGGAGGCTGGCCAGTCCTTTTGTAGTCTTGGATTGCACTTCAACTCGTGCCAGGCTCTGCTTCTTGGGATCTGACTGGGTTCCGGTACCACATCCCCACGGCCTTACTGCTTCCGAATGTCAAGGTCTGGAACCTTCCCGAATTTCCATTGGTCTGCTGCTGTTTGGGCCTTTGAGTAATGACTTTTCAATTTTGGCATATGGATTTGACTGTGGACTGTGACTCCTGCCTCTGGGACACGACTCTTGCCTGTGGAACTGCCCTTTTACTCGTGGGATGTGACTCTTCAATATGACTTTCCATTATGAAACGTGATTCTTGCTGGGTGCCTGTTGGACTGGACTGCTGAGGTACCCGACTGTGATTTTTCTAAACTTGACTAATTCGGCCTTTCTTGGCCAGGGCCTCTGACCCTGTGACGTGAATTTTGGGCCTGAATCGTGGAAGGCCTTTTACTCCTACTTGGCGCTCAGCGCCCAGACTACAATCACACAGCTACTACCAGCCTACGCATTGACAATGCATCCTGTTGACGTCAGCAGCAACAACCGAAGGACATGAAGATGTCGACCCTGTCGACCGTCGCCAAGACCATGAACGTGCCCTCACATCATCATCCTCATTTCTCTCTCTCTCGCCCTCGTCTTGTCTACCCACGTCTTCCTACCCATTCACGAAGACCACCACCACCTCCACTGGCTATCCAAGCCAAGCCCTGGCTATGTAGGGCTGGCTATGGCGCTTCCCTCAGCAGCACCTTGTCTTTTTCCTTGATGCCTGCGTGCGCCCGGCATCCGCTAGCGCACAGCAGGAAGCCTGCGAGCACACGCTCCATCAACACTGCCGCTTGCATAAGCCAGTGCCCGAATGAGCCCCCCAGTGGCAAGCTCTTTCCTTTATGGAAAGTGCTCACCCAGTTCGCTGTCTGGCTGGGCCTCGTGTGTTTCCAGTAGCTTCCGTTTGGGCCAAAGTGTCTGCGCCCAGGCCCATTCAGACAGTGGCCTGGGACAGAATTGGTTAGGCCTGCCCAGCCACCCAGGAGTAAAAATGAGGTTCTCCCTGCTTCGTCTGTGCTGCTGGAAGAGCCTAGAAGGCTCACGATTTGTTTCTGATTCTCACGAGTACGGAGGATGTAACCAACTGGCGCGTGGCAACTGTCTGGCACCCATGAAACTTTGCCAAAATTGACGAACTCAGTTCATATTGAAATTCAGGGGCCCGCCTTAACTTAGGGCGGGCTCATGCTTGCTGAAAGGGCCTTACAGGGGCATGCGGAGGAGCTAACTCGTAGCAAGGCCTCGTCGAAGGTCCATGCCCACATAGGGTTTCCAACAGGCTCTGCTTGGGCCCCCCAGCCTGGTCTCATAGGCCTATAAACAGGCATTGGCACATATTTGCAGGCCCGCCTTCACTTAGGGAGGGCACCGCACCTTTCCAGCACTGCTGAGGTACTAAATCCTCGCAGCCTTCCTTACCAACAAATAAATAGAAGGAAACTCACTGAGTGTAGTAACCTACCAGACTGTTCTAGACCTACCCCCCTGTCTAGGACCGGGACGGCTGGTACACTGGGTCCGTGGGGCGAGAACTGGGTTTCGGAAACCGTAAAATCCTTGTACAATCCTTCATGATCATCAACTTTCCCATAGATCTTGTTGCAGATGTGAGTTGGCAATGGAATTACAAACATTTCTTAGGCATATGCTACCAACTTGGTGTGGTGTCTGTCTGGTGATGGAATAAGTGTTCAAAATCTTTGTTACCATATATTATCTGAATGCATGAAGTAACGATATCTGGTGCCCATAGTATATTTTCTGTAACGCTTGGTTATAATTGTGTGAGGTGCTCATAAGAGTCATAACGTACATGGTGGTGTTGGAAGCCGTGCAGTCATTTATATCCGACCACTTTTCTTGTGTCCAATGCTCACCCGTGCTGGATTTGACTCTGGATAATTTATCCAACTTCTCAAATACTCACTTGCATTCAATTTGCTGATCGGCACTGTTGAGTGCTCAAGCATATCTGGTAGTTTGCTCTCAGTTTGTCATCACCATAACGAACTGTGATGTGTACATCTATCTCAGATGATGCCTTCTCATGTTGTCTGCTTTTGTGGAAATCAGGTGAGCCCTGGCTTGCTTTCTTTGCTGGAGGTGATCGATTGCAAGCATTGCGGAACAATGCCAATGGGAGGTATTGTCTGCAAGTTGGGGTGGACCTTACCGGTGGGAACCGGTCTCCAATTGTCACACAAATTCCAATTTTGCCAGTGCCCCGTCTTGACAACGTTCATGAGCACCATGACTTATCTTCTACTGGGTATGATGATTTTTCTCCTGATGGACCTTACCTGCTAAGTAAGATTTACATTGGCGCCATGGACGAAGACATGAATGATAACCAGGCTCTTACATTTCGTGTCGGAAATGAGCGGGAATATGGTGGATTGTACAACTACACAAATGGAAAGGTGGTTGCAACTCATGGACCCTTGCCCACCTGTTGTTGACTGCTTGTATCCAAAGTGAGGTATACTGGCTGTGAAAGTCAGTTCAAATGTTAAAGTGATCTTCTGTTGGTCTCAACAGCCTTTGATCTTCTGGTTATCCTTGACACTTTTTCTTGTATGTCCAATGACCCTTGCAGCTACAGATTGAGAAATCTTTGTCTTCTTGGTGTCATTTTTCGTTTTTTTTTCACCGGAACATTGTTACACTCTACTTGTGGGGAGCATGCGGGGAACCAGGCCCCGCCTTTGATCTTCTGGTTATGCTTGACAATTATTTCTTTTATGTGCAATGACCCTCGCACCACAGACTGAGAAGTCTTTGTCTTCTTGGTGTCATTTTTCTTTCTTTTTTACCTTAAGATTGTTACATTCTACTTGTGGGGAGCAACACATGCGGGGAACCGGGCCCGGCGTCCATTATGAAAATTATAAAGAACAATTCAGATATTGCAGCCACTACCCAGCCTAGGCAAAATATTCTGAAAATTTATCCGAATATATTAATAAAAGAACTGAACATTAGGGTTACCACACCGTAGCAAATCACCCTCCTTCCCGTAAACTCCCCACTCCAATAAGACTTAACACAACAGAGGCCCCATCTCTATTGCTGCTGTGCCATACAACCTTCCATGGCACTAAATCTCTGTCAGGACGTGTGACATCCATCCTACCACCACCCACTTTACCTGAGAGGTACTTAGCTTGAACAAGGAAGAGATGCTTGTGAGGCGCTAACCTCACGCCCTGCACAAGGTTTTGTATCCGTGCAATTTACACCGATCAAAGTAGGGGACACAGCTGACAATTTTGGGCCAAGGGGGTTGAAATCCAGGACAGAACCAGAATTTCCCGCATGAGTCCTAGGCGGGTATTAAAAAAGAAAGGACTTAAAAAGGGAGAGAGATATGTTTCAGGGGTATATGGGGACTTCCCATGGGGAAATGGGATTTTTGGCAAAATCGAGGCTTGAACAAGGAAGAGAATGCTTGTGATGCGCTGACCTCATGCCCTGCACAGGGCTTGCTTGTGATGCGCTGACCTCATGCCCTGCACAGGGCTTCGTATGCAGGTTTCACCGATCACAATAGGGGACGCGGCTGAGGATTTTGGGCAAGGGGCATGGTTGCATACCCTGACGGTCGGCGGCCCTTGATGGTTGGATGCCGACCAGCCGAACGGTTGGCTGGTCAGCACCTACCGGACGGGGGTCGTCGGCAGCCCGCAAAAAAAAAAAAGAAAAAAAAAAAGGTCTAGAACCCCTAATAACCCCACCAACACCCCCATACCCGCCCCCAATACCCCCATACATCTCCTCAACACCCCCAAACCGCCTCCCAACACCCTCATACCCCCCCCAAATACCCCCTATACCACCCCTATATCCCCCTACACCCCCCCTCTGTAGTAAAGAGCAGAAAATTGCAGTGATTTTTTCCTTTCTACATAGAGCGTATGCTATGGGCACACTTCCGGGTTCAGAAGCTGTTTTTCTTTTCAGTTTAAAACTTGAGTTGCGACATCGGCACTTTCCTGATAGTTTCCTTGATAAAGCCCTGATCCTGTTTAACAATTGGGTTGGCGGGGCCTGGGCCTCTTGGGTACAGGCTTTTACATATTGGGTACGGTGGTAACAGCTGGGCCTATTTTTGGCTGTTCCACCCTGTTCTAGGCTGTTTTTTTTTTTTTCCATAAGGCTCAATTACCTGTCAAATCTGGACAGGACGGCCTTTCAGGCCTTTTTTATTGTCATTATAGTATGACGGGGAACCCCGTAGCAGCCACATCCGTGCTCAAGCCTCCAACGAGGGAACATGCGGGGTTGCACCCACCAGCAGGTGCGATACCTGCTACAGCAGGTGGGCGATACCGGCCAGGGGTCAGCCGGTAGCATCAGGACCGAGCTTCTTCGATGGGCCAGTCACTGTGCCTCCCCTCCGGTCCCCTCCCCCTATGAACATCAGCAGTCTCTGCTGAATGCCACTCGGGCGGACCAACCGTAGCGGACCTCTGGTTGGCCTGTAAGACCAGCCCCTTGGCCTGTTCTCACAGGCCTGTGTTGTATTCGGGGCAGTCCAGTCCAGGCCGGTACCTCTGTCGGTACCAGCCAGTCCAGTCCAGTCCCGTCAGTCCGCTGGGGCATACCCCAGCTGTTGTCTGTTTTCGGATCATTCTGCATTCGCACAGTCTGGAGTACGTGCGTTGGAGTCTGGCGTGGGAGCTGCGCTGTGCCATCTCGCCCCCCTTCTTCCTCCATCCCCATCCCTGGCGGAGCACCACACCTGGTGGGTCCGCCACAGTGGTATCGGAGCGGGAACGTTCCCCGCTCCCACCCACCACCCCGTACAGCTGGGAAAACAGGAAAACCCGACAGGCGGTTTTTTTTGGCTGTTTTCAGGCCGTTTTTCGACGGAAACGCGGGAAAAAAAAGAAGCTGCAGCAGGCAGCGACACGTGGCAGAAAAAGCATGTGCCATCACGAGCGTGGCTCTTCCAAGGCTGCCACATGCGCGCTCGCCACACGCCCACGCTGCGCCGCCCCACCCCGCTCCCGGATTTTTATTATCAAGATTCGGGATCTTGCTACCGCTGGGGTTTGAACCTAGGCACCTGCTGGGCTTGCGCGTGCGTAAGCTACTCCTGTAACACACTCACCATACTGCATGTATGCTTTTGTAGTGTGGCATGCTGCTGTTGAAGAGGTGCGTGCCAGCTGTTTACCCCCCCCCCCCCCCGCCGGCGAGCAGCGAGGAGCAGAGCAGCAACGGCGGGGCTGCTATTTGCGCCGCCCCCCCCCGGCTGCTGCTGCCTGCGGACGTGGCCATCTGTAGTGCCACGTGGCAGCCTGCTGTGGAGATTGAAGACCCCCCTGGCTAGGGGGTTGCGCCACATCCTTTTTTTTTTTACTATTTTTCTACTGCTGCAGCAGCAGTTTTGCAGCAGCTCAAGATTCCCCACTGGCTAGGGGGCTGTGTGACTGTGGCAGTAGGGTGGCTGATCAAGATCTCAGCCAACCCTAGATCATCATCATCATCGTCATCTCTTATTGTTGTGGCATCAGGCCAGCAACACCTTGAAGGGCAGATCCTGTAGATC